AAAAAAAAAACACACACACAATCATCCACAAAAACACTAACAATGCCGACTACTCTCCATCTCCTCGCCTTCTCAATATTCCTCTTGCATCTCACCATCACCTTTTCCTGGGCAACCTTCTCCTTTGCCCAAACCCAATTAAACATGTGGTCCCAAAATGTGCACAACAATATGCCACCATCCATCTCCACAAAACTCTCACCACTCACCCGGCACGACTTGGACTACTACACTACGGCCATGATATCACGAAACACGTTCAAAGCCGACCCCAAATTCTGCATGCTAGCGGGACTAGCGTGCTCCACGGGTGGGGTCCACGTGATAAACGTCGATTCAGAAGTGTATAAAACCTACGGAAACCCGAAGGTACCCAATGAGAAAGTCGACCCGTCCTTGTTCTTCAGACATTCGGCCCTTAAGGAGCGAAACTCCATCCGCCTCTCCAATCTCAAGGAGTCCCTACCCCACCGTGCATTTCTCCCCGCTCCAATCGCGTCCAGGATTTCCCTGACCACCACAGGTTGGGATTGGCCGGATTTTAACATGCATGACCTACCCATATATATTTATATATTGAGTTATTATTTTTATAATTATGGTTTTGTTTTTTGACAATTCTGAAGGTACTGCCGAATTACATATTCGGTGAAGATATTATTGTACTAGCACCTAATTAATAACATATATATTCGGTGTAGATGTTATATTTACCAAACTGATGTCATGTTTAGGTGTATTGTACCCTCAATACTATAAAAAAATAAATATGTATACAGTTATATAATTCTTGTGTCATATATAACTTTTTTCAATAGTTACGGAGACTAGATTCTACATAACCAATGTTGTACGTATCAATCAGCAAATTAGCTTACTCTTATAAAAGTTAGCGGTAACACAAACTCGTACTTGTTGTATCATGTAGATATATATATATCTAACTTAAAATTTGTACGTAGATGGCGTGACGAGAATATTCCCGGACTCGGCCACATACGCAATCGAGACCACAATCGCCTACTGCAACGCAAAGAACGTGAAGGGAGAGTTCAAAACGTGCCCGAGGTCACTGGAGGAGATGATCGGCTTCTCGAAAACCGCACTGCACACGGAAAAGCTTCTCATTCTAACTTCCGAGAGCACGAGAGGGTCGGGAGAGAAACTCATGATCAAGAATATTAAGACGTTCAATGCGGAAAATATTGTGGCTTGCCACGAGATGTTCCTTCCTTTTGCAGCCTACTTCTGCCACTCCCTGCCCTCGACTCGGGTTTACTCTGCGGACCTTGTCGATGGAAAGACAGGCGCTCGGGTCAACACTGTAGTGGGAGTGTGCCACATGGACACATCGGGTTGGCCCGCGGATCACGTGGCGTTTCGGGTTCTCAAGTTTGGGCCGGGGCAGGGGGAGGCTTGCCATTGGTTGAATGAGATTGATCTTGTGTGGGTTGCCGCATAATTTATTTGCAGTTACTTATTTGCTGTGTAATGTGTGGGCTTTCTTAATTAGTTTTGGTTATTACGATAAGTACTTGATTAATGTCAAGTTGAATGTAAGGGTTTGTGATTGTGATCTTTGTTTCATGTGCAATTACTATCTGATTACATTGGTATCCTTCTTATTCTTTTTTCTTGCAGTAAATCTATCTCCATATGATGGTGCATATAGTCATGGTGGTGCCCATGCTCCTGCTCCCTCACATTATTATGAGGAAGAGGACCTAGGCTTTTAAATCACTTAAAGAAGGGATTATGAGAAAGAGGAGCTAGGCTTTTAAATCACTTAAAGAACTTGAGGCGCAAACTGTAACACCCCGCCTAAAACTTACTAAAATCAGAGTAAATTTTTCGCGCTCTAAATGAAAAGCACTGATTTAATTTTCGAAAACTCATATTATTTTTTCGAAAATACTTTCTTTAAAACGCGGGATGCTACTCAACTTTAATCTTATATCTTTATCTCTTTAATCTAACATGCATGCGACCAAGTAAAATTCATTCTAGAAATAAGGTCATGAATAATACCGGATTAATCATGCATATTCTGAAAATCTGACATAATCTGAAATCTGAAATACTAGACTGAAATCTGACATCTGAAACACAAGTCTAATATGCGGAAGCAAAAATAGTTCGGAAAGCACACACAAAACATAAGTAAATGCGATGACAAATGGTGTTTAGACATGTTCGAATAACTATATGACATGTCATATCAAAATGTCCTGGCTGATGACCACCACCACATATCCGGCTCACGCTGCACGCGGGACTCCATCACCTGAAAAAGAGGGTAGTGGGGAGGCGTGAGCACAAAGGAATCAATAGTGCTCTGCCGGGACCGGCACTGATATACTCAGCACAATTAATAACAAACTATGAAATCAACATATATATGAGAAAACTGGTCTGACTATGGGACTAACGGTAAACCGGTACTCATGTGCACACTCTGGGGGTCCCCTCCCACAGAAATCCAGGAAAGGCACTAATCACCCCATCTGGACGCTAGACTTAGGACGGGCCCTAATCATACACATCCAAGTCATAAGTGAAATACTGAAATATTGACCAAGACGGGATTACTCATCCGTCTCAGTCCTTCAATTTAATCGCATATAGATCTCAGACATGGTAAATTATTAAAAGCGATGAAATACACAGTACGTGGTCCCCACCTGGAAACTGGCGAAAAGCGAATGCTGAATATATCTGAAATGGGTAGCTGATGGAGGCTCGACTCTCCTCAAGCTACAAAATATATTGAGCGAAATGTTCTAAGTACTAGGCTCAGAATAAAACTCAAATCTTTAATATCTTATATATCTAGGTTCGCTCCTCGGCTTTAAAAATCATTTAGGGATTTACGAGCTGAGTTTGAAAATATTATCGTCGTTGAGGCATTCTAGAGTTCTCTGAAATATTTTTAAGTCTGGGACTAGGATCTGACTTAATCTAATCTGACTGAAATCTAAACTATATCTGAATCTTAAATCTATCTGAAATCTTAATCTGACTGCATCTGAAATTTATCTGACATTCTATCTGAAATATATTTCGAACAGTCCGGCTGACCGGACCAGTTCGACTGAACTGGACCGACGGCTCACTCGGAGTTGGTCTGTCATTCGCTTGACTATGTGCGGCTCGGTTTGACCGTGGTCCGAGTTCGGCGTGGCGACTCGGGCCGGCACGAACTCGACTGACACGGCTTAGCCGATGCACGAGTTTGAACGGTGCCACGGTCACTGACGCAGGGGCATGCTTGGACCACGGCTAACAGAACGACGCGTAGACGGCAAGTCGGATGGACTCGGTGCACGGGCACGCACTCGGGAGTTTGACTCGGACTCGGTGCACGGGCACGCACTCGGCGGCTCAGCTCCAACGGTCGGACGAGAGGCGATCACGGCACGAGACGACGATACGCATTACGAATTACGATACGATGGTTAAAGATTATCTAGATGGTACTAGGGTTCAGACATTTATAATCGGATCCGGAAAAATACCCAGTTATCGAAACCGGATAAAACTAGGGTTTTGATTCCAGAAAATCCTAACTCAATTAAGGCCGATATTTAATATACATATTCTATGTGATTTATAATAAATCTATAATCCACAACTGCAGCTAAAGTCGCAGTCAAACTATTATTTTATTTATACGGCATTAATATCTAAAGTCTCGATTTTTATAACTAAGTCAAACAACATCCAAAATTTACAAAAATTGAAACATAACATCCTCAATATATATGTAACACCCCGCCTAAACTTACTAAAATCAGAGTAAATTTTTCGCGCTATAAATGGAAAGCACTTCTTTAATTTTCGAAAACTCATATTAATTTTTCAAAACTACTTTAACTTTAAAACACGGGATGCTACTCAACTTTAATCTTAAATCTTTAATCTTTAATATCTATAAACTACTAGGCATGCAACCGAGTATAATTCATTACTCTAAGGCGCCATGAACATCTCAGGATTTAAGCATGCATACAGTGAAATTCTGAAATACTGAAATACTAGTCTGGAATCCTGAAATACTAGTCTGAAATCCTGAAATATTAAATTCAAATCTGAAATTCTAAAATACTGAAATAGTAATTTGAAATTCTGAACTACTGACATACTAATCTGAATATTAGTCTGAAATTCTAAAATACTGACTAGTCTGAAATTCTAAAATACTGAAATAATAATCTAAAGTTCTAAAATACAGTTCTAGAGTGCGGAAGCAAATATAGGTTCAAACATCAATGGCAAACAGACAATAAGCAAACCATAAATAAAGCATAATTAATTCAAACAATTCAAAACATGACATAACACAAATATCTTGACTGATGACCACCACCACATATCCGGCTCACGCTGCACGCGGGACTCCGTCACCTGAAAAAGAGGGTAGTGGGGAAGCGTGAGCACAAAGGAATCAACGGTGCTCCGCCGGGACCGGCACTGATATACTCAGCACAATTAATAACAAACTATGAAATCAACATATATATAAAAAACCTGGTCTGACTATGGGACTAACGGTAAACCGGTAGTCATGTGCACACTCTGGGGGTCCCCTCCCACAGAAATCCAGGAAAGGCACTAATCACCCCATCTGGACACTAGACTTAGGACGGGCCCTAATCACACACATCCAAGTCATAACTGAAATACTGAAATATTGACCAAGACGGGATTACTCATCCGTCTCAGTCCTTCAATTTAATCGCATATAGATCTCAGACATGGTAAATTATTAAAAGCGATGAAATACACAGTACGTGGTCCCCACCTAGAAACTGGCGAAAAATGAATGCTGAATATATTTGAAATGGGTAGCTGATGGAGGCTCGACTCTCCTCAAGCTACAAAATATATTGAGCGAAATATTCTAAGTACTAGGCTCAGAATAAAACTCAAATCTTTAATATCTTATATATCTAGGTTCGCTCACTCGGCTTTAAAAATCATTTTAGGGATTTTCGAGCTGATTTTGAAAATATTATCGTCGTTGAGGCATTCTAGAGTTCTCTGAAATATTTCTAAGTCTGGAACTAAAATCTGACTTAAATCTAATCTGACTGAAATCTAAACGATATCTGAATCTTTTATCTATCTAGAATCTTAACTTTATCTGAAATTTATCTGAAATATAGATCTGAAATTCTATCTCTGAAATTTTATCTAAAATATATATCTGAAATTCTATCTCTGAAATTCTATCTGAAATATATATCTGAAATTCTATCTCTGAAATTTTATCTGAAATTCTCTACGAACCATCTGGCCTGCCCGGACTGGTTCGACTGAACTGGACCGACGGCTCACTCGAAGCCAGTCGATCATTCGCTTGACTATGTGCAGCTCGGTTTGACTGTGGTCCGGGTTCGGCGTGGCAACTCGGGCCGGCACGAACTCGACTGACACGGCTTAGCCGATGCACGGGTTTGAAACGGTGCCACAGTCACTGACGCAGGGGCGTGCTTGGACCACGGCTAACGAAACGGCGTGTAGACGGCAAGTCGGATGGACTCGGTGCACGGGCACGCACTCGGGGGTTTGACTCAGACTCGGTGCACGGGCACGCACTCGGCGGCTCAACTCCAACGGTCGGACGAGAGGCGATCACAGGCACGAGACGACGATACGTATTACGAATTGACGAGAAGATGGGTAATAATTATCCAGACAGTACTAGGGTTCAATCATATAAAATCGGATCCAGAAATATACTCGGTTATCGGATCCGGATAAAACTAGGGTTTTTATTCCAGAAAATCCTAACTCAATTAAGGCCGATAATTAATATACATATTCTATGTGATTTATAATAAATCTATAATCCACAACTGCAGCTAAAGTCTCAAACAAACTATTATTTTATTTTTATGGCATTAATATTTAAAGTCTCGATTTTTATAACTAAGTCAAACAACATCCAAAATTTACGAAAATTGAAACATAACATCCTAAATATATATATAGTCTATGGTCAACATCTCAAGTCAAAAGTCAACTCCTAACTCAGTCAACTAAAGATCGCTACGACCGGTCAACGCATTCGACCGGCTCGTTTACCTACCAAACCAAGTCCGAAAATTATGAAATTTTAACCTACGCCTCAAAATGACGTAACGAATTTTATTGTATTTATTCCAACATTTTATCGCATTTATTTAAAGAGTCGAACATATTCGCTTTAAGCCCGAAAATCCCGATTTATTCAAAATCGCTCAAATCACCCAATTCATTAATTTTATATCGTTTCAAATATTATGCCTAAGCCATACAATGTGAGTTTTAGTTATTATACCTCACACTGCTCGAAAACGAGCGGGTCGGAATACATCGGCTAAAGAAATAGATCGTTGAAGGTAAAACGGGTTGGATCCATTTTCAAGAACCGCAAATCCAGGTTGTAGGCTGCTGTCGGGCCAATTTTTGGAGCTGCTC